ACATGATCCTAGCAGGAATATGATTTGGTAAAGCACATCCACCAATAAATACATTCATGGCTCCACTTAAGGAATCTCTTTCATCACTAGAACGAACAGGTGAACATGCAAGCTATGTTAATGATAGGCTTACAATAAATTAAATAGAATTGGTCTTTTATATACATGTACATTCGCTACATTTACACAAGAGTGCATAATAGGATATACATCCCTGTGTCAACACTGTACATACATGTCCAAAGTACATGCCCATGCTATACATGAATATATATACATTCATAAGTACATTGTACACAAAATTATAATGTTTTAATTTGTTACGAAGGCTATTATAATTTTAAAAATTCATATTAATATAATATTTTGTTACTAATATTTTAGGCCTAACAATCAAATTAGGACAAGAATTGGTTCATGTCCGGGCTATTTTGACCACTGGGGTGTATGACATTCCTGCCAAGAGTGATGTATTAGGCTTTGGTAGCCGTAAGGGAGAATATGCATGTACAAGATGTCTATACCCAGGTAAAGTGATCAGAACTGGAAAAGGTAAATAACAGTTTCAAAATTTGTGTTCATGTAGAAATGGGTATACATGTACATGTAGGAGCCAATTCACGAGTTTATCATATTACACTGGCTACTATTCAGTAAATTTAATAGTTTTAATCAGAATTATTCAGATAAAAATAACAGACTTGAGAATGGTAAAGGAAAAGCAAGGAAACACCATGGAATTTTAAAAGATGCTTATAATGCTGTCCAAACTGACAAATCAGCTAAGTTACTATAACAATAATAATATTTTGTCTTACACAATTAACAGATACATGGGATTCAAGAATTATCCATTATGTCCTGTTTTCCTCATTTTGACTTTGTTAAAAGTGTTTCAATTGATGCAATGCATGGTCTGTATGGTGGTATAACCAAGGCATTGCTATCACTGTGGTTTGACTCTTCAAATCATAAATCTCCATGGTATTGTGGTCCATCTAAGGTTACAGAAGTTAATAAGCATCTTCTAAATACTCAGCCTACTTCTAACTTGAGTAAAATCCAGCGATCATTACAAGAACGAAAATACTGGAAAGGTAAAATAGAAATAATTATAGTAATTAATTTTAATGTTTACTTACCTTACTGATTACAATGATTAGCATCTGAGTATCGATACTTTCTTCTGTTTTACTTGATACCATGCATGCACTGTATTAAATACAGTGTTATTGCAACACCTGTAAGGGTGTCATGGCTATCCTTTAACTTTGACACAAGTTGTAGTGTTGTAGTAACACCCCTTTTTCAATAGAACAACACCAAGCTAGATTGATTCAACACCCCAATAGTAAACAACACCCAAATTTGTGACACCCACGAGTGTATGCCAACACCTCAGTTTTAACAGTGTGGATGACATTCTGCCAAGAAGATATTTTAATCACATCTCAAAGCTTGTGACAGTCTGCTACAATCTACATAAAGATATTATCAGTCCTCATGACTTAATGGAAAGTGAAAGGCTTATTTACGAGTTTCATTC